AGAGAGAAGTTAATTAAACTAAAACTTAAGAACTAATTGATATATTTATTTTGATTAAATTACTAATATGTTCTCTAAATTTTGTATCGAAATTTTTAAAATTGTGTCTATTAATTCCCTAAACGTTCAATTTTGTGTTCACAGGAAAATTTTAATACAAAGATTCACAGGATAAATATGTGATTTCTACCTTTTTTTTTTCTCCTCAGTTCATTTTTTAATTTATTTTTTTGTTTTCCCAAGAAAGGACAAGCTTTATCTGACAAGTGTCAGTAATGAATGACCTATCAGAGTCTGACATGTACTATCATTATTGACCAGCCTGCGCACTCAAAAGCTAATTCAAAATATTCTATAAGGAAAAAGTAAATAAAAAGCTAATTTGAAATTGTAAAAATAAATTCATGCTATCCTGACCGTTGGATGTGCCCTCAACCTCGGCCCACGCTGATCCAACGGTGTGTAACTAAGATAATTCCCACCGAAAGATATTGGACACTGTTCTATCTGTATTATTATTATTATTATACCGCTTTTTTTTTTCAAATAAATAGTAGCAGTTAAGTGATAATTGAGATATATCTCAAATCGAGAGACTGCGAGTTCGATCTTCCATYCTAACATGTTGTATTAAAARAAATAGTAATATTTTAATTAAATTTAAATTATTTGGTAATTGATAATGTCATTATTTTTTTTCAAATATATGTATAAGTTTATTATTTTTCATTTCTATGTCATAAAAATACAAGTAAATAAAATGATAGATTAAAAAAAATATATTTTTAAGTAATAAGAATTGCATTGAAGATAGAGAGTATTAATTTTCTATGTGAGAAGAAAAGACAGGAAAATCTTGATTTTATCAAGCGGAAGAAAATGAGAATTTTGAAAACAATGTTGGCAAAAATTATACTTTACCATCGATACTCAACCAAAGATTTTCCAAAAGGAGAAAAGAAGACGTGATTCTTATTTCCATACCACCCCAATTTGAAAACTATTTAAGGAAATATCTTTTGAATGTCAAATGAGAAAAACTATATGTTATATATAATTTAGTTATTCTACGGAAAAAAAAAGTAATAAGATATTAGTAAATGCATTATAAATATTAAACTTAGAATATAAATGTTTAGGGAATTCACTCCTCCATCCCATGAATCCTCAAATAMAATCCTAAAAAAAGGTTCTTTCTCCRTCTCTCTTACCCATTTTAATTTAAAATTTCCCCACCCACAAAAAAATAATAATAAAATAATAATAATAATAAAAGAAATTAAAATCCTTAAACTAGATTAAGAAATCAAATAAGACTTAGAGAAACAAATTCTTTCAAATCTTGCCCTAAAAAGAGAACCCATTTACGTGAACATGAAGAAATCTCCATCAAAAATAAAATAAASTGTTTTCTATGCACATTCTAATTTAAATAATAAATTCCATCTAATTTGTATCAAATAAATTCTTCCACTTTAAAATTTTTTCTATATAAAACTTCACCGATAAAATTTTTATCAGAAATATATGTCTTACCAATTAAACATTAGTAGATATCGGAACCTACAATCTTTTATCAGAAACAGTTAAGCTATGTTTAATTTGACTAGTAAATTTTCGATTCCATATAGAATATATTTTTAGTCTACCACCGAACCAAACTCAGTAATTCAACTAAAATAAATTTTATCGCAGAAAAAGGAAAAAAAAATCAGAAATTAGCGTACCTGATGGAAGATGGGTAGACGCAAGATCCATAACCTGAAAAAGA